TACTACAGTTAAAAACTCTCAAAAAATGTCACACTTTAAATTGAATTGAACACTCAAATTCACAAAATAAACTAAGCATAAATTTATTACTTTAAAATGAAAAGGAACACTTGCTTTTTACCCAATGAGAGAGTTGTGAGCGTGACTAATGATTATGCTTTCCAATGTAACTGCTTCCAATATATAATAACTTAATCATTATATTTTTTTCTCTACGTACACCTCTTTTAAAATAAAATTATTATTAAATAAAATATGCTCACACAAAATAACAAAAAAAAAGACCATTATAATAGACTTAATATTACATTATTAATTTTGATCTCAAAAAAGAAACTAATAATAGTCTTTTTTTTCCACTCAACACACCTCGCATATTATAATCTCATATCATAGATTATTACTATCTCAAAATCTATAACAAAACGCTAATTTTCAGGCCCGTTCACTTCGCTGATTCAAGTTTGTAATTCGAGTTGATATGTGATTTTGTGTGAGAGCTTTTTACTGTGGCAAAAAAGTTAGATGTGACTGTTTCTGAGAGCTTTTTACTGTAGCAAAACTCGAATCGGCAAAATGAATGGGGACCTTATTTTATCATGTAGTGTAATTACTCAAAAAAATTTACCCACATGATTGCTCATTATTCCGCCCATACGTGATGGCTAATATTAAAATATAAGACTATTATTGATCTATCTCTCAATGACTATTTTAAATCATTGCATAGAGATATGTTGAAGGAAAATTGTTTTTTTAATCTTTTTTTTAGTTTCATGTTTATTTTATTTTAATGTTTTTAAAGAATTGTGGTTCCCTCACCACTTGATGTTGCAATAGAGGAGCAATCGGTGCACAACGAAAGCATCTCTAGCGAACTTGAAGAATTGCCCAAATTCTATCACAGTGGAAGCCTATAATTTTAGACAAAATAAAAGATGCTCTGGAAAAATTTGTGTGTTTTAAAACATTGAGAGGGGAAGCCAATTTATAGCTATTTTTATAGGTGGCTGTTGAAGCTTTTGGCTTTCAATTCTGAATTCAATTTCAGAATTAAGTTAAGTCGTTCTAATTTTTAAGAATTAATCCGCCGATTAAGTTTGACATTTATTTGAGGCATTATTCCCCAACTGTTATGACAAGTAAACAGTCACACTTGATTCGGAATAACTTATTGGGTGCACTTTAATGCTCCGTTTATTTTGAGAGTTCTAGCCTAATTTAGGATTATAGTTCTTAGTTCGCTACAGTGTTTTTCTCTCATAAAAAATTTAAATTTTAAAAATTAAAATCATGAATCATGGTTATGAAGCCATAAACTAAATGTCACTTAAATATCAATTTTTTATTCACCTAAACATGCATTCCATTACGAAGATCTCACAATAAAAAACTTGAACCCACTTTGATCTTTCACAAAAATTAAGTGGAGTTCACTAAAAATCTAAGCCTCTAAATGTCCACTTAACACGGTTAATAACCGTGTTTTTCCGGCAGATTTGACACTGGAGTTTCTGAAGATTAGTTGCTATGGTGATAGGGGGCAGAGTTGACGATGAAAAAATGAAATTACCTTCGATAGAAATTTTGTTCTTGTGCTGGGTTTAGCAAAGAGAATTGACTGATGATGGTTGCAGAGTAGAAAAAAGTAATTTTTCAATTATATTATGGCTTCATTCGTTTCACGGATTCAACGAGATGACATTTTCTGATAACTTTTAACTATAACAAAAAAGTCAAATGTAACATTTTTAAAAAGTTTTTAACTGTAAAAAGTTATAATTAAGTAAAATAGACGAGACCTTTGTGATGTAAAAACCTAAGTGGCGAGCCATGTGGGATCCACATCGAGCGGTGAGGGTACCAAAGGTGCCCCTTAGCTTTTAATTTGTTAAGATGATATCAAATCAGCAGCAAAAGCTAAAATAGATGAAGGGTAAAAAAAAAAAAAAAAAGGAAAAAAGATTGACAAATAAGAGCTTTAGTATAAAAATATATGTATGTATATTTACCTATTATAAATACTTGTTATGTTTTTCTAAAGGGTTAATACCTCTAAAGATCCCTGAATTTTTGAGTATGTGACAAATCGTTCGTCAAACTAAAATAATGAGTCATAAATGTTTTTGAATCTAAAATAAATAAGCAAATGAGTTATTTCCGTTATTTGGTATTAAAAGTCACGTTTTACATCATGCACCTTGCACTTGATTCACTTTTCAATGATACATAGGCTTAAATTAGGGTTTAAACTATTAGTTTTTATAATAATTTTTTAAAATTTAAATTTTTATAAGAAAAAAATACTATAATAAAATTAAAACTATAATTTTAAACTCATGATGTAAATTAGGGTGTGTTCACTTCACAGATCAAAATTTTACAATTTGAGTTAAAGTTATGGTTAGAGTTAGAATCTTGATTTGAATTGTAATTAGAATTGGAGTTCGTGTTTAGGAGTCCATTTGAGCTACAACTTTGACCCACAATTTGAGTTGTGATGTGTTCATTTCATAGATTCATTATTCCAACTACCATATCAATTTCCATCCATCTATATGATAAAATCAAAAGAAAAAAATAATTAATGAAGAACATTCCACGTTACTAATTTTTGAAAATGTCATATTCATAGGTTAATACATGTAACTAATTAATGAATGAGGAAATTACCTGTCACATTAATTTTATTATCTAATTATTTATTTCTAATTTTTGGCCTAACGACTCACATTTAATCCAAGGTTATTTTTGACATTGCACTTCAAAAAGGAATATTCCCTTCAGAATAAATTGAATAAATTTGGGCTATCAGTTGCTATTTAAATTTAAGAATAATTGACGCAGATAGTCTTTAAATTTTTTAATAAATGATAATTTAATTTTGACGAAATACTCTCTAAATTCTTTAATTAGGTGCGAGACTTTTCCGTTAAATTTTTAACGGAATACATAACATGGACATGTCATACAATAAAACAGGGTATTATGATACAATAACCATAATTATATTTTAATACAAAATAGTTTTGAAAAAATCCGAAAAAATGAGAAACAAAAAAAAAAAAAAGAAAAAGACGAGGGTTGCTGTAAAACCCAGAAACTTTTTTGGTGTGAATTGTGAAAAAAAAATTTCCAAAAACTTATTTGCAGGACCAGCAAATTCTTCAAACCAAAATCTTGTTAAAAAAAATGCAAAATCGATCCAAAGATATTTGCACCAAGAAACTTCAACAAAATTTCCAATTTCTTACCAACCCAGATATTTCATTAGAAAAAAAAAAACAAAAAAAGAAAACGAACCCAGACCAATCTAGATCCTTAGGCTCAACAAATAGAGCAATCTCCAACATAATCTAATCATTTTTCAAATAAGAAAAATGCCCAAATCTCCAACAAGAAACCAAGCATCATTTCTCTCTCCTCTTTCTCTACAATTTGTCCCTTGGTTGATTCTTTACCTCTAACTCTCATTCACGAATACTTCTATTAATTAGAAGGAGCTCGATATGGATGAAGAGATGGGAATGGCAAGATCGAAGGGTATGGACGATGTTTCGCTTGACGGCAAGAAAGAAAGGAGGAAAATCTCGAACAAGGCTTGACGGTGACCGCTTGCAGAGGTTCGAATATGGCTTGGGCGTGCAACGGATCTGGCTCGGAACTTAACAGACGAGAGGGCTGGGATAAGTTGGCCATGGCTGTCCTAATTGTTAATTTGTTCGGTTAGCTTTCTACAAGAAATAAAAACAATAGGCCTTCTACGTTCAAAAATTTCTTTCTGAGTTATTTTTGGATTAATTTCAAAAATTCCTCCCCACTTATAATCCTTGTAACACTTTGTTCTATTAACTTTGAAAAATAACATCCGTTTTTTTTTTTTTTAATTTGATTCTGTTAACAAGTTTTATACTTATGTTATAATGAGTGACAAAATTACCACGTATCACTTATTTAGTGAGAATCGAAAACACAATTATGCTTATATAATTTTAATCAGATAATTTCTCATTTTTATTAAAAATTGATCATCTTTGTTCCTCATTTTCCTCCTTTTTTTCTTATCATTTAGTTCCCCATTTTTCTTCTTTTTTTTTTTTCATCATTTTGTTCATCGATGTAAGTTGGATCAGTAGTGATGACATCGCACACGAAGAAGAATTTGGGAAGACAATTTTATAGGTGCATTCAGTATAAGGTAAATCGTTTAACATTGGAAGAAAAAGTTTTTGTATAGCTGGGTTGAATCTAGTTCATTTGGGTTTGATTGAGGCTATGGGTTGAATCTGTTTCATTTTATGATTGAATGTAGAATAAAGATGATAGAGGTTGTGGGATCTCAATTGTGATCTTTGAATATTCTCTTACCTTTTCCGGCAAAAAAAAAAAAAAAGACGCCTCAAGGAACGCTTGAAGTTCTTCTTGTCAGTGTTAAGGATCTTGAGAACGCTAATTTTCTTAATAAGTTTCTTGTTACATTTTGTCTTGGATTCATTGTTCTGATCATGTTTTTGATCTTGTGTCTTTTGGGTCCTTTTTTTTCCTAATCTTGATGTTGTTCAAGATTTAAGTTTTCTTTTTTATTGACATGTTATTGCATGTTAATTTACGATAATACCCTTTTTAAATGAGTCATGTACTTGACACGTGGTGAATTTCGTCACTCATTATAAAAGATGGAGAAAACTTATTAACGAAACAAAGTTTAGAAGGAACGGATATTATTTTTTAAAGTTTGAAAGAATTTTTGAAATTAATCATTTTTTTAATTTTATAAGTAAGGTCATTTGGTCTTTTCAATGTAAAATTAACCCTACCGTGAGAAATGCTGACATAAGTGGACTTAAAGGTCTAAATCGTATCTAATTAAAGAGAAAAATAAAGATCATTCAGGGATTTTTTTAGCTTATTAAATTAGTTCAAGGACCCATTTGTCACGTACTTAAAAGTTCAGGACCTACGGAGCTATTAACCCTTTTCAAAAACAAACCCTAACGCTGATACGCTATTCTGTTAATACCCACTCCATTTCTCTCTCTCTCTCTCTCTTAGCCGCCGCCGCCATTGTTCACTCTCTGCCTAGGAGCCTCTCCTTCACTCTCCACCGTTCAGTTTCGTTTCTCAAGTGGGTATGGCTTTCTCATAGATCTCATAATCTTTATTTTTGTTTCTGTGTTTGTTTGTGTTTTGATATTTTAGGTTATGATATTCGTTTTCTGTTTTTTTTTTTGGAAGCTTCGAATCAAGCTTCTATTTAATTCTTATTTAGGCTTTGCATGATTATTGCTGTCTTCTGTATGTCTGTCTGAGAATTGATTGCTATTTTTTTTTAAAAAAATTTATGAACTTGTAATTTTTTTTTCTTTTTCTGTTTCGTTTAGTTGATTGGTAATGTGGTAATAACATTGTCTTAATCATATTTTAACGGTTGTAATTTCTTATTGCTAACTTTTTCTTCCCCCTTGAAATAGGCTTGTTGCTGATGTTCTTACTCCATTTGCTTTTGCCTTATTTTATAGTATTTTGGCTTCTTTTATGTTTATTTTGAACTAATTATGGGACTTGATTTTATAATATTGTTTGATGTTGGACTAATCTGCTTTGGATACTGGATGTTGGACAATGTATGGACTTTAGATTTTAGGTATGTGTGTTTAAGATTTTCTTGCTTGTATAACTTGTAAAATATGTTAAGATTTTCAGTAAGGTTTTTTTTGCTTTTCTGCAATTTCATTACATAAATAAATTTTCTGCACAGGGTGTGATTTCCAGATAAATAGACTTGTAAAATTTTCTCTCTCGGTAAATTTACACAACTTATAAATTTTTTTGAAAGGAAACTAAAACGTTACATTACATCATTATTTGATGCCCGTATAAGGCCCAACCCGCAGAGCCCACCCCAATCCAACCCAACCCAACGTGAGAGTGCTTGGGTTGCTCACTTTCTGTATGACGTCTGGGCCCAGTTTTCCCCAACTGAACCCATGTACAGGCCCGTTTCTGCGATAATAATTTATGTAGTTGACGAGATCTGGGACCTATTTTTGCTGCAATGGCTGACGTGCACTCAAATCATGCTTCCATATTCCATGGACTGTTGATTCTGTTCCTTTTGCAAACCTTGTTGGGAATGTAGTTTTTTGTGTCTGCATTCCTTGCTTGGGGTCAATGTTATTTTCTGTGTTGTTCCATGGTTATGAATTTTCTACAGCAGTATCAAGAACAGTAGAAATTCTGTGGCTAAATAACCCAACTTATTGTAGGAATGTTGGGTTTAATTTTACTTACTATTGCTACGTTTTTACGCTTGTTGAGACTTGAGATATAAGATCTCACCATATTATAGCTGATTGGAGTTTGTTTGTTTGTTTTTTCATAGTTGAGAATAACAGACTTTTGTCTCTACATGATATGGACTGAGATCGGATCATAGAAACTCTAATGTATAGATGTACTTTTTGACCATCTTACTAAGCTTAGAATTATTGTATTCTACATTGGCTTTTTGGCTAACTAAAGGATCTGTTTTCCTAAATCGCTTCTTTCATTTTCTTCTGTAGAGAATGGAATCCCAGGTGAAGCATGCTGTTGTTGTGAAAGTCATGGGCCGTACCGGCTCAAGAGGTCAGGTGACTCAAGTGAGAGTCAAGTTTCTTGATGACCAGAACCGGTTCATCATGAGGAATGTCAAGGGGCCCGTGAGGGAAGGTGACATTCTCACCTTGCTTGAGTCCGAGAGAGAGGCGAGGAGATTGCGGTGATGGGTCTTTCCTGTTGTTGATTGCAGTCTTATTTTTTTTCCTCGGTTCTGTTTACTGCATACAACTTTGTGTTGGTGAATTTAGGGGGAGGCCATTGTCAGTCCATGTCTTCTAGTTTTATATCTGGTATTATTACCAGGACAAACTTCAGTTTTATAGACTATTTATGTGAGGAATGATTAGAGTTTTCCCATATGGAAAAGCACTAGACTTTGGATTTATCAATTCTTTTTGCTTGCTTTAGAATAACTGTCCCTTGTTCATTACTTCTCTGATATTCTGATTTTTGGGAGAGTGAGAACATTTAGAATTTTTTTTAACTCACCTATATATCCGGAAACCACCAAGTTTAAGATGAATGCTCCTTTATTTTTAGTTTTGTTTTGTCGCAAGTCAAATCCCAAACTCGTTTACAAGGTTTTCATCCTTTTTGTGTGCTTTACCAATGTACAAGTCTCTATCTTTTATGTTCCTATATGAACGTGCTCATGCAAGACAGTCAAAAAAGAAAAGAGGAGAAAATTAAGGAACCAAATTTTTTTTGGGATATTTATATTTTTATTCCCTGTATTTTGAGTTTATTTAAAAATTATATTTTTAATTTTTGATCTCATCAAATGCATATTTTAAATTAAATTTTAATATATAAATTTATATTTTATCTCGGTAAAAATTTTATTTTGACCTTTAAAAAGATTAAATTATCCTTTTAAAAAAAATTTGATACATGGTCGCAATTTGATACGTGCTGTCATTTTGCTTTAACTTTTTTAAAATTTGATACACGGTTGCAATTTTTAGCTCCTTTTTTCTTTTTTTATTTACGGTCTAACACTGATTGGCTGTAATTTATTACTGATTGACTGCAGTCTATCACGAAAGTTGACCCTCTCTTAATTCGGGTTGGGCCGGGTCTCAATTTTGTCTGGCCCGAACTTGAAGTCTATAATAATGAAAACATAATATGCGTATTTAGAACCGCTTTTAAAAACGGTTTTCACGTGTTTTGATAAGCAAAAAATAAAAATGAAAATGAAACGACGTTTGTTTAGTGAATGTTTTGAAAACAAAAACAGTAAAAATGATTTTTATGAAAGAATTAAAAAACAGTTAAAAGTTGTTTTTATTTCTCTATTTTTATTTTTTAGTACTTATTAATAATATTATAATATATTAATTAATAAACATGATTTTATTTTTTTATTATACTCAAAATAATTTCTTAAAAAATCAACTAAACACAATTTCAGAATCGGTCATAGAATAATTTTCAAAACAATCTCATTTTTATTTTTTATTGAAAATAAAATCATTTTTAAACAAATTTCAAATACACCACCAATGTGTAAGTTTAGTTTCTCATTTTTATTTTTTATTGAAAACAAAAACATTTGCTCCACTCTCCTATGTAGTTACGTTTTTAAATTCGTTGAAAATTCAGTTTGTTCATAAGTTTGAAATATTAAAACCTCAAATTCTAATGAATGTTTTGGAAAGATTTGTCTGGAAGCTAGTGCTCGCATTATTCTTACATTTGAATTGAAATAATTTGCTAAACGACAGAACTCTTGCGTAGTAGGTGTAGAAATGCTTTACCCAACGACAGAGTTGTGGGCGCGACCAATATGAATTTTCTTTTCAATGCAACTCCTTCAAATAATTAATTACTAGTAGATGCAAAATCTTAAGAAATTTCACCTGTTTGAGATGACGAGTCAATGAATTTTATTAAAGTCAGAGAAGCATAAAGGTGAAGATATGTAATTTATTTTGCATGTGTATAGTAACTTTAAAACAATGTTTGATTATTACAAGTTTTGGTGGTGTGGAACCTAATTACTTATATTGAGAGGGAGCGTTGAGGTATAGAAAAAAAAAAAAATATATATATATATATATACACACAAAAAGTTCGAGGCGCGTAAAGTGTGCGATTTCTCTTGTACTCTTCTTCATGATAGTAAAACTTTACAAAAGATTGATACTTGACTAACATTGAATCACTACGGAATTTGTGTGCGCTTTCTTGGGTCATTTTATTTTAATTTCACTACTCTCCACAACAAAGAATAAAGGCTTAACACATAACAAATAGCACTTAAATAGCAGCATATATAAATATATATATATATATATTTTTTTTTTTTATTCAACCATATTCAATCATATTTTGAATGTACAAACCTTTCACAATTTACAAGGTAAAATATGTAATTGTTCGAAGCTGTATTTCTAGACCAATTTTTTGAAGTGAACTTGTAAGGTCCGTTAAGTATAGTTAAATTATAATTCTTGATTTTAATGTTTGAAATTCAAATTTTTTATAAGAGAACACTGTAACAGAATCAATGATTTGAGAAAAAATAGAGAATTTATCTTTAAATAGTGGATGAGTCTAAACTTTTACCTATTACTCTTAATAAATACTCTTTTATTAATGTAATTATTTAACAAAAAATTATAAATTAAGAGTAAAAATAAAAATTCTAACACGTACATTTTTAAAAAATATTTATCAAGAATACTCATGATTTAAATTTGCGTATATAAAATAAACAGACCCTAAAATCCAAGATGAAAAAGTAGTCATGAGAGAAAAAAAAAGGGTTAGAATTTCAAAGGGTTGAAAACCTTTTTGTCTAAAACATTAGTGACAATACTTGTACAGTGCAGCTAGCAGACAATCTTTCAGGTGAGTAGATCAATTGTAGGAAGAAAAAAAAAAGATATTTGTTCAAATTCTGGCTTCATTGTCATTATATTTCCTTTTCTTTTTAAAAAATGATCCGTTTGGTAGGAGGTCTTGACCCTACCAAGAAAGCAAAACCAGCACGTTTCATGATTAGCCAAATCGTGAAACAAGATCTCATTCTACATTTATAAAGAGAACAAATTGACCGAAATGTCTTTTTTGGTGAATAATTGACCGAAATTTCTGCTTTAGGCAAAATGCGACTTCAACAACATTGTCAAGGAAAAATTGTAACCAAATTAAAGCATGCACAAAAATAGCCTGAACAAATCAATAAAGTCAACTTAAAACACTTTTGACACTCGAACAAATTAAAGCACTTTATATATATACGCATGTAGGCTTACAAAAAATGACCTAAAAAAGAGTAAAATAAATAGTTGGCTTAAGTTCTCAAGCAAGAGTGCCACTAAAAACACAACTGAGTTTCATTTGCAAACATATTTACAGCTTTACAAATATCAAACACCAAAAAACAGAGTTTCCTGTCTCACACATTTAGTAACATAAAATTTACATTGTTAAAGGAATGGATATTCGAAAAATGTGAAAATAACGTGAAATCGACCTGCACGATTGACATGGTTACAGTTGCAAAGCATCTATCCAGGTAGTAACGTCTGTGCCGAGACAGAAGCTAGACCCTGCATTAACCTTACAATTTCAACCGTATCATCGAGATAATATTTGGCCTTGCTGGGCTTCCGACCCACCGTGCACGCAAATACTTCCGCCCCAGGGGCAATGGAAGGGCCTGCAATGGCGCTCGAGATTACCTCAAACATGTCTTCGTCTGATCGATCATCTCCTATGCACAGAACAAAATCGGGGGTCATCCCCTTATCTTGCATGGTGGAAAGCAGACGTTTCGCCACAAGCCCCTTGCTTACACCCTGCATTTATGCAAACAATATCAGGTTGTTCTAGGAAAATCACACACGAAATCTGGTCCGATTTATGATATTCTAAGAGCATTCTGCAGCCTCTTCAGCAAAAGCTATCTAACAAAGATTCTTGCACACTGACAAGACATTGAGTGCATCTCGGGTTTTGTCAACTGACTGAATCCCATCCAGGCTTACAAGTTCAAACAGCTATCTTCAAATATTGATAATACGATCAAACAAAAATAATGTGAAAATGGATTAAATCTTCCAAATTTCAATTATCATGTTCTATACAAGATAGCCTTTGTGTATGATAACTTTGTTTCATATATTTCTTCGTCAGCCTCAGGTATGAAATTATTTGGAAAATGTAACATATATGATGAACCAGCCTAAATTTGAGTAAAGCTGACTCATTGTTAAGATAACAACTACAAATCCACCATTTGCAATAGCATTGAGAGATAAATGAACTTAAAACTAAAACTTTAAAGGGAAATGGGATTCAGACCTGTGGCTTAACCTCAACTGTATTCTGCCCACTTTTAACGGTAACTGGTTCATTGGCAAGAACACTTTCGAGATGATCCAGAAGTTCCTTAGCCTGACACGACCCGAAGTCGGGATCTGCATCCTCATAACACCACAAAAGCGTAGTTTCCTTATTTTCAATGGTGGAACCGTCTGTTGCTTCTGTGTAAAGCCTCATCACTGGCTCCGCAATCTGCTTCCAACTACAGTCGGCAATTGGCATACACGTTTCCCATTCCACATCTCGTGTTGTCCTGAGATTACACAATTCTTAGTCCAAAGCAGAACTTGCATTTATTTCAATAAGCTGAAAACATTCAAATAATTAGAATTCGACTGATTCACCTGAGAAAGAAGCCATGCTCAGCACCAATTCCCATCATCTCACAAGGAGAGAACCATTCGGAAAGTTTCTCTCGACTTCTAGAACTGACGATGAAAACCATGTTATTCGAGTCTCTGCACAAGCTATTTAGGATATCAATGCTCTTAGAGGACGGGCTCTTATCGATTGAGCCCTGAGGCATTAAGGTACCATCATAATCAAGAAGGATTGCCCTGGTTGTTGTCCTTTTATAAGCTGAAACTATGTTCTCCATTAATAGCTTTCTGAAGCTTGGATCCAATGCCACAACTCTGAACCCCAACCCGAACCCAATACCCCAACACCTCCGCCGCACATGATCCCTACACGTCCTCTCCAAATCCGTTAAGAAACTATGAGCCCAATACCCAACATGATGGGTACTAACATATTTATAATGCTTCTCATGACGGAGCTGTTTTTCCGGCACAGCCATCTCCAAGGCACAATCCATAGCATCAGCCACGGCATCGATATTCCACGGATTCACGCGAATTGCTCCACTCAACGACGGGGAGCAGCCAATAAACTCGGAGACAACCAACATGCTCTTCTTTGGAGTGGACGATTCCAAGCCCAAAACCTTATCCAACTTCTCATTCCCTTGGCGACTAATTACGTATTCATAGGGTATGAGATTCATTCCATCCCTGACAGCAGTAACCAAACAACACTCAGCAACGACATAGTATGCAATTCTCTCGTAAAACTTCAGCGGCTCACTTATCAAGACAACAGGCTCGTATCCAGGTTTCCCAAATATTTTGTTAATCCGCTTAACAGTTGAGTGCGTCTCTGCCTGAACTTCTTTGACATCTTTCCCGCGGCCACGCGCTGGATTGGCAATCTGCACCAAAACCACCTTCCCCTGCCACTCAGGATTCTGCATAAGCAACTGCTCCATTGCCAAAAGCTTTAAACTTATACCCTTAAATATATCCATATCATCCACTCCAAGTATCATTATCCTGCCCTGATCACAAAACTGTTTGATAAGCTCAGCAACCTTGGTTTCGGTCTCTGGGAGGCTCAGCACATGCTGGAGCTGACCCAAGTGTATTCCAACAGGAAGAATCTTTATACCAACGGTCCGACCATAGTACTCGAGGCCTATGTAACCCCGCTTGGATTCATACGCTAGACCAAGCATTCGACTACAGCAAGAGAGGAAATGCCTGGCATAATCAAACGTATGGAACCCAATTAAATCTGCATTCAAAAGGGCACGTAAGATCTCTTCCCTAATCGGCAATGTCTTGTAAATTTCAGAAGACGGAAATGGACTGTGGAGGAAAAACCCGAGTTTCACCCGGTTAAACCTCTTTCTCAAGAAAGTTGGTAGCACCATGAGGTGATAATCATGAACCCAAACAAAATCATCTTCCGGGTTGATCACTTCCATAATCCTATCTGCGAAAATCTTATTGACTGAAACATAGGCCTGCCACAGAGACCGGTTAAACCGGCCGCCAAGGTCGGGTGACAAGGGCAGCATGTAATGAAACAGAGGCCATAACTGCTGCTTACAAAACCCGTGATAGTACCGGCTAAAAAGATCCGGCGGAACAAAGGTCGGAACACATCTAAAACTCTCTAGAAGTATTTGGGACACCTCATCTTGCTCACTTGGGTGAATTTCTTCCTTAAGACAACCTACATAAATCACTTCAACCTCATCATCTCCCAACCCATCCTTCATTTGGAGTAGAAGGGAAGTATCATCCCAATTGAAAAGCCACCCCTTACTACAATCCAATCTTCTCTGAGCCCTAATGGGAAGCTGGTTAGCAACCATAATGATTCGGTCTCGGTGGATCGACGACGAGGACCAATCGGAGCAAACACTCTCAGAAGGGTCCTCATCAATTTCAGATATCAACCCAGAAACAGTCATAAGCCGAGGAATTCTCCCACTTATACGACCAAACGACGGAGGCTCGCCGGAGGCGAGCTCCAACAGATTTGAATAAGATTTCGACACCATTTTTCCTTTTCTCTACAAGCTATAAAAACCACAGATTATCAAAGTTTTCCTCAACCTTCCTCACATGAAAGAACAATCCCCATTAAAGCAAAGTCAACTAACTAGGCCTAACAAATTTGGAACTTCAAACAAGAAACGGTTTTTTAGCTCATAACCCATAGAAGATATCTATCATAAGAGAACAGGAATGTGAAAAGAAGAAGAAAAAGGAGGCCGTAAGATAAGCTTTCTTGAAAAAGTGAATCAATCAAAGCAAGGAAAGGAAAAAAGATATGTAAATCATGTAAGTTTCTCGTTATCCAAGTAAAAGATACAATAAAAGGAGATGGAATGGAATAGATTCCGATCATGCACAGCTACGAAATATACCGGCAACCAAACGCTCCACTAGACATTGTCAAACATAGGCACTGATGAGAAACAGATATTCGAAGTGAAAGAAAAAGAACAAAAACAATGACTTGAAAAATTAAACTTGACAACAAAAAAAGAAAAATTGAAAGAACAGTTTTAAGATGTTACCAGCTAATGGCAGTGCAAACCCCAGTTTTTAATTTTGGAAATAACGGAGAAAATGAAAAGAAATGGGGCCTTGAAAAATCTAAAGCAAACCCTAAAATTTTGAAGCTTTTTTCATGGAGCTTTCTCAGTGATGACAATCTTATAAGTGCACGCACATTCTCTCTCTCTCTCTCTCTGTCTTTGCTGAATAGAACTGAGGCGACAACATAAAATAGTGGGAGATAATTTGCTGGCAATAGGCAACTTTGTTTTTGGGATAATTCTGTGCTTTTTTTTTTTTAGGTAAAATTCTGTGCAAATTATAGATCACATCGTAATTATTTATATATTATAGTTAAGAATAATAATTTTACATTTCCTTTTTTTAAAATATAATAGTTTAAAAATGGTAGGTTAAATTTATTTTTAATTTTCTTTTATAATGGACAAATTTTCCATTTTCTTATTTTATATTTTTGTCTATTTTAAGTAAAAAAAAATTAAATTTGTCAACAAAGTTTGTCTCTTGCAAAATCGAAAGCAGAAAAGTGTGGGAACGCGAGAAACAATGTCAACTGTCCGATGACAGAAATTTCTAATCCAACGGTGGAGAAACATTTTGAGTTTGGTCTAAAGATGCAGGCGATCCGGCCTCCTCAATCTTATCCTTGTCCCTTGGCAAGTCCGCCACGAGGCAAAATGGAGGTGGGACCCACTGGTCTTCCCCTGTCCGAGATTATCCATAGTGCACGTTACCGTACACGTGTCAAACATTAATTTGTCGGTTGTCCATGTGGCAACGTGTCTGCGGTTCATTGAATGTCGAGACAATATTGAGGTCTAGAGATACGTGTCTTGGTTATGACTGATTTGTAGAATATTTTCCGACGGCTAAACTTGGGGACGATGGAGCCGGTTCGAACTCGAACCAGGACTAAACAAAACCCTGTAAGAGATAAAAATGTCTTTTTTTTTTTTTAATAGGAGTTTCTCGTATGTTTGGTTTAATAATAGTGTTAAATTTTGACTGTTAGATTAGATTAAAATTATATATAATTTAAAAATATATATATAATAAATAAATTTTTATACAAATTTTATAATTGAAAATAGGAAATTACCAATAATTTATTTTTTAGTTTAACTAGAGAAGTTCCTTTCTCTTTTTTTTTTAGAATGCATTCAAATTCAATAATCGACGAAACGAAAACAAAACGACCAATGAATTAAAAAATTACCGGTGAAAATAGAAAACTGTTGGTAGCTTTATTTTTTTTTTCTTTTTTCTTATCTTACTAGAAAAGCTCCATTTTTCTTCTTTTAGGATGCCTTCAAATTTGATAATCGATAAAACAAAAACAAAACCATCAATGATTCATTCTAGAATAAAAATGTATTTTCTTCATCTCTCATGATTCATTCCAGGATTAATAATGTTTTTGGTTCATTAGTTTAAATATAAATTCAAATTTTATGTAAGAAAATACACTCTATCAAAACTGTTTGAATTGTCATTTAAATATTTAAATTAAACGACAACTTATTAGCTATAATCAGAGGTTATTTTTGACCAATTAATTGCCCGTTTAGTTCGCTGATTCGAATTTTTAATTTGAGTTTAGATGTGACTTTATGTGAGAGCTTTTTACTGTAGTAAAAAAGTTAGATGTGACTATTTCTTAGAGCTTTTTACTGTAACAAAACTCGAATTCTAAACTCGAATCGGTGAAATGAATGGGGCACAAATATGTAGCATCAGATCCATAATGGTGAGAGACTAAGAGTGACAGTGGACACATTCTTCATGTAAAAGTTAGTGAAGTCCTTTTTGTTTTATTAATAAACCCTGAAATTCTTTTATAGGCGATGAAGATGTGAGGCAAGATGACAGTAAATTAATAAAAAATATCAAAAAGTAAAAAAAATAATAATAAATTTATTTAGAAATAATTATAAAAATATTTTTCATTTAGAGTTGTAAGTACGGATCGGACTAGACGGAGCGACAAATGACCCGAGTCTTTAACCTCATCCAGCCCACATAAGGATACACGATTTGACTTTTTTTATAAGGGTGAAATAAATTGTGGCTTACTTCTATAAATATCACTTATATGACTTATTTTTGAATTACACAATGACGAATTCAGGATTTATCAGTCGGGTGCTAATTATTATTATTTTTTAATGAAGATCATACTAATATGTACACACACATATATATAACCGTTTTTTTATAAATTTAATTCATAACATATTGACACATGAAAGCATCAATATTATATCTAAATAGGAAAATATATTACTGTGATGATAATATCAAATTTTTCAATTTCAATTCTTTGAACCTTTTTGGATGCTTGGGAACAAAATTTTTGAAATTTGGAATAGATGATTGATAATCTTCTCCAAATTGTTTGATCTTGAATATTTTTTCTTTTAAAAAATGCATCAATTGTTAACTTCCAACTGAATAATATAATTCAGAATTGAAAATAAATTTTAACATCGTATAAACTACACTATATAAATTTAGTAAACTATACACCTATATGTCATTATGCCAACTTATTTTTTAATAAAAAATTATAGGTGCGTTTGAAATTCGTTGCAAAATGATTTTGTTTTCTATATGAAAATGAAAATGAAAACGTTTTCATTTACATTTTAGAATCATTTCTGAAAATGCGTTTGATAGTTTTATTTTGAGATTGTTTTCAGTTTTTAAAAAAACTAAAATTTCGTTTGGTGGTTTAATTTTTAAAAACATGTAATAGTATTTTAAATAATAATATCCAGGAGAACAAAAACCAATGCCACCTGAAGAAAAGTCACCACCCTCCGATTCGCCTCAGCCGACCACCTCCTATCATTATTCCTATGTGTCCAAATCCTCGCATAGAACACCCCAAAAACCACAATCCACCATGCGGCAACAACACTCTTCAGCACCACAATCCACTCGTGTTCTCATCAATGTAATCCTGTAAAATCTTGTTCAATTCCATGGCCATATTATGAAATATATAGCAAATACACTCTGAAACAATTAGGAGATTAGCATACTCACTCCAAATCAGGAGATAAAGCGAGACGTAGAGCAGCTTACGGCATTGGTCCGACGACGCCTCGCGGTGGTCGGAGATCCAAATGTTGGACTTCTTCCCCAAATAGTAGCACCAATCGGTGTAGTTCTTCAATAGCTTCTTATGGAAGCGGCGGAGGACGCCGGCGTCGAGTGTATTGATGTTGTCCGGTGGCGGCGTGAGGCGCATCTGGGAGTTGGCGAGGTGGAAGACGAGGTGCTCCCTCTGGTTCCGAATGCTATCGTTTTGGAAGCCGAAGAATAGGGCGAGCCAATCGAGGAGGTCCATGTGAGGGAGCCATTGCGCGAACGGCGGCCGACGGAGGTTCCCGACGGCTTGCAGTGCCGCCGTCGCAGCTCGAACCTCCGGATACTGCAATGACGGGTGGTTCGCGAGCAGGTTGTGCACCAGGATTATGTTGTACAGCTCTGACTCCGGGTCTCCCACCGTTGCATCCAGGCCCCGCCGCCATCGGGCCCGGACGCGACGGTGGGGATGGTCGCTGGCAGAGGCTCATGAGAGGGATGACTCGAAATATGCAAATGGGAGAAGAATGAAACAAAAATGAAAACGGAGAAAACGATCTTAAGTCGTTTTCAGATTTTAGGAAAAGGACAAACGTTTTTGTTTTCAATTTTGATAAACTGTTGCACCAAACACGTTTTTTATGTCCGTTTTAATTTTTTATCCTAAAAAAACGTAAAAATATTTTCAAAAATGAAAACAAACAGGCACTATAGTTTCTATTTTACAATTTAAGTATAAAATCTAACTAAAATAACTTAGTTAGAAATAACAAAAAAAAAAAGTAATAACTTGATTACGTTTGAACTTTGAAATATTAAATGAATGAAAAAAGTTTTCCTAAATTAGACATTAAAATAGAAAGGAAAAAAATTAAGATTATAAGGGGAAAAAAAGAAAAAAGCGAAGAAAAAAATAAAATCTAACCTTGAATAATGGAGCAAATTGCCAAACTTCTTTTAATCTTTGATTTTAATTTTTCAAACATTTTGGATATAACCTTCATTCACCAACTTGTTGAGTCAAAGATTGAAAAAGAGTTTAGATACAACTTATAACTTGTAAGCATAGACGGTGGGTATTAATTTACAAAAAAGAATTTGGATATAAATTAACTTCAATTGATGGAAAAGAAATTTTAATAATATTGCTCCGTGCTTGAATAATATTGTGACTCATTAGTATAATAGTATTCTAGATATTTGTTTGAGAATCGGAAAACATAAGAGTAAGCTTCCCTTGCAAGTTTTTAGTACTGACAAAATATCACTTTTAATATAAATGAGCTAGTATTTTAATTAGGCAATTAAAATTGTTAGATTTTGGGACAAGCCACTAGACTTAATAAAATTAAATATTTTAAACAAAATAGTAGACATTTTAGATTTAAAGTGTTCTGAGTAGATATTTATGTATGCAATCCTTTTATTTTTTAAAATTTAAATGGTTGACCCAATAAAATATAGACAATTATTAATTTAAAAAGGATCAAGTCTAATTTATACACATATTTATTATAATAAAATTAAAACCATTATATTAAAAAAAAAACCATGCCCCCGGCCCCCTAGCTTTGTCATTGGAATTACATTTGTTAACAATCTAAAAACACCCTTGGATTGACTTTATAATCATGTATTTAGTTTTGGTAATTTTTCTCAAAGTTGAATTTCTTATATATATGCCCGCACTTATTATCTTATTCCTTTTAATGTTCGTTTTCAAATTCATATATTGTTTGTGTGGGTGATGTCCATCCGCATTAGTTAGGCCCTGTTTATTTCACCAATTTAAGTTTAAAATTCGAGTTTTACTGCAGTAAAAAGTTCTCAGAAACAGTTACATCTAATTTTTTTACTACAATAAAAAGTTCTCACA